GGGCATCCGCGCCCGTGGTTTTTGAGGGTCCCCGCGTCGCAGGCGCGGCAGAACCCAACCCCTGTCGAGCAGATTCCCTCCGAAGTTCGGAGGGAATCCGCCATTCGGCGATGGCGCCAACCCGGAAGTCCCACTATTTTGAATGATGTTGTGAATCAGCGTGCTCTAGTGAGCCAGGTAATGCTTTGTTGTTGTTGTTTAGTCGTTTAGTCGTGTCCGACTCTTCGTGACCCCCTGGACCAGAGCACGCCAGGCACTTCTGTCTTCCGCTGCCTCCCGCAGTTTGGTCAACCTCATGCTGGTAGCTTCAAGAACACTGTCCCACCATCTCATCCTCTGTCGTCCCCTTCTCCGTGTGCCCTCAATCTTTCCCAACATCAGGGTCTTTTCCAGGGAGTCTTCTCTTCTCACGATGTGGCCAAAGTCTTGGAGCCTCAGCTACAGGATCTGTCCTTCCAGTGAGCACTCAGGGCTGATTTCCTTAAGAATGGAGAGGTTTGATCTTCTTGCAGTCCATGGGACTCTCAAGAGTCTCCTCCAGCACCATAATTCAAAAGCATCAAATTCTTCGGCGATCAGCCTTCTTGATGGTCCAGCTCTCACTTCCGTAACGCTTGCTAATGTACTAAAATGCAAATATTGTTTGCTCTCCCCCCCCCATTTTTAAAAAGCTAGCTGCTTTACAGAAAACATAAGAATGTTAAAAAAAAAAATAGAGGGAGAATATACCTTTAAATACTTTGGTGGTTGTTGCCATGTTGATATGAGAGATCAGGAGAACTACAAGGGGACAGGGTTTTATTGGACTTACTCCTTTGGTGCCAAAGTGGTGGCCCATATTATGGGGCAGAGCTGCCTTCCTGCCATCACAGCCCTGATCTTGCCACCACCCAATTCATCTTCACTGAGGTAAACTGCAGCAAACCTGTTACCAAACCTGGCGCAAGAAACTTCTCTCCAATTAATTTCAGCGGGAAGAAAAAAGTGAAGCATAACTGCCCCTTCATCTCCAATGCTGCACATGCTGCCAAGACAGAGTGGATATGAGTGGAAACTTGGGATATTGAAGAAATTCTCCAGATGTATAAATTTTCATTTATGAAAAATTGTATTCCATTTAAAAGGATTTCTAAACTTCTTAATATTTAAAACTCTCCAAAGAGTATATGGAAATAAAACATAAGAAAAATAAAACATACAAACATATACAAGCATAGCAATAAAACTCTACTATAAAAAAAATTAAAAAACAAAAACCCCCAAAATGAGAGTAGTTCCTAAAATTAACTTTTCCCAGCTCTGAGCAAAATTTCATGTCCCTGCAAGGTGAACAACCCTCTTGAAATAGCGTAGGCTGCCGGACCCTGAAATGAGGCACCATTCTAAGCTGCAGAGCAGGGGTAGGAGACCTAAGGCCCGGGGGCTGGATGTGGCCCAATCGCCTTCTCAATCCGGCCCATGGACGGTCCAGGAATCAGCGTGTTTATACATGAGTAGAATGTGTGCTTTTATTTAAAATGCATCTCTGGGTTATTGGTGGGGCATAGGAATTTGTTCATTTTTTCCCTTCAAAATATAGTCTGGCCCACCACATGGTCAGAGGGATGGTGGACCGGCCCATGGCTGAAAAAGGTTGCTGACCCCTGCTGCAGAACTTAGACTTAGTTTAGGCAAATCTATGCATCATTTTTTGTGTACAATAAAACAGTATTGGGGGGAAAGCGTTTAATGGCAACTGTACAGGTCCCGGTTGCAAAATAGTTTTGTACAGTTCTTTTTCTGGGGGTACTCAAGCACATGCAGTACCAGTGGCTCCCCCCTCCATGTTGAAAGTGTGGCACTTACAGTAACAACTTAATGGTGAGTACCTGCACCATTTTTTTTCTTAGAATAAAGCACTGCTTTTGTACTAAATAAATCAAAACGAAGTTTGCAAGGAATTGATCTGAACTAGGGTAATCTAAAAGAAGAAGAAAGAGTGAGAACAATTAACAGCTCTATGTAAAAATGAAGTTCTTTGGGCTTCAGAGAGATAATTGCAATATAAAAATAGCATGTCTGAATTTCTGGAGAGTAAGCTGGAACACTGCTGACTGCCAGCCTCCAACCTCCTGACTGTTCTATCTATGGCTCTGCCCGTTAAGGAAATGGAGTGGCAGGATGCACGGGTTCACATCACCAGTTACTCTCCATCCAGTGCGCTTCCACTGCTAATTTTTGAAGCCACATTCACACATCCTTTTCCTGTCAGTCCTGTAGTTTCTTGGAAAATACTTGATGCGTTTTCACCCCTCAAATCAACTTCAGTTGGATTAGAAAACTGTTTGTGGTTTGCTTTAAAAAAGTATTTGGATTGGAACGAGATCTGTCTGTGGAAAGGGGTGAGTGGGAGCTGACTTTACTGTCCTTCCTCATTTAGGTGTCGCTCCCCCACAAAAAAAATGCTCATATAGGGGGGGGGGTGGAAAGAGCCTGGCAGCAGCCATGGTTGGCTCATTCTGGGACCTCTGTGGCCTCTTTGTGGAGCCTGGAAAGTACCCTCAAACTCTCGCCACTCATACAGTCCAGCAGAACAAGCAGGACAGGACCTGAATAACACAATTGCTACTCTGAATCACCTGCCTTAGTTTAGAATCATAAAACTGTAGAGCTGGAAGAGACCCTGAGGATCATCTAGTCATTCTAGTGCGATGCAGGAATATGCAGGTGGCCCATATGACCAACTGAGCTAAATAAACTGATGCACATGAAAGAGGTATGATACTATCAACAGGGTGTTACTGTGAAATGAAAGGGGACCTCTTCTGTTTTGAGCGATGGCCTCAGCAGTAGGGAGTCTTATTGATATTTTGAATCTGCAGTCAGAGGGGACCCTTTGCAGAGTAACTCCCTCTGCCCCTTCTGGCTCTCCATGTGGGATAAGCCTCATATACATAAGCCAATGTGGGCAATGCTTTTCTAAATCTCCACAAAGTGTGATAGTGTAAAACTGGAAGAGTATTTTCTGATTTGGGCCAGTTAAGCTGCACAGTGTTTGCACAGCAGGATCCTTTCAGGTGGCTAATTTGCTTCGTGTCAGAACAATCCCCATTGTAATTATGATAACAAAAACCTTCTCATTATTTGCTCCATTAATCTGTTGTAGAGGAATGAGGCACAAATAAGCTTCCACTGAACTAAGCATATTTCTTGATTCCTCCATCTTGAAATGTTGTAACAGAGATATCTGTGATCCAGGCAAAAATGGAAGGGTTGAACTGATGCTTAGGTCTAATTCCTGTGCTTGGGTCTTATCACACCTTATGTTAAATGTCCGCCCTGCAGTTGTAAGTGGCAGGATGGATCGGGAGCTCCTCTGGGGTGTGTGCTGTTTGGGTTTGAGTCCCAGGTGCTCCCACTCTCGCTTTTCTTTTCCCTCCTCCAAGGGAAAAACAGGTGTGTGCTGAGGCTTCAACTCTTGTTTGCAGTTTCCCAGCCTCGTGCCCTATGAGTGTGCCACTGTGATTATGCAAGTGTTGATAGTGTGGTCTCTGTGTGTGTTGTGTGCATATTGTGATATAAGTGATATGGCAGGGGAGTGACCAGATGAGTGAAACGTAAGTCTGACTCCGTCCCTGATGGATGGCTGTGATGTAGGTGCAAGCCACACTGCAGTATGTGTCCTTCATTTCTATGTTAGCTTTTAATTTTCTCTTTTGGCATTTCAGACAACTCCAAACAACTTAAAACAATAAAAGTTATATTCAGTTAGACACATAATTTCTTATACTTGTCTAAACATAAGGCATGATATCTTAGATTACAAAGATCTTGATCCTGAGCTAACAATCAAAGCTGTGACTCTATCCAAGCAGCTTCCATTTGCCTGAGGCAGTTTACAGGAGACAGAGAATTAATATGTCTATTCTCTTCAGTAGCTTGAAAACAAAGAGCTCTCACACAAGATGCCTACAGATTAGCATATGCATAGACCTGTCATGCAATCCTTTTCATGTGATTTAAACACCTTATGCCTGAGCCAAAAAGATACAGCCCTACTTAATAATTAACCTGTTAGGTTTTCTTCAGCTTCAGTGGAAATTTCCAGTCATGCTTTACCAGTACAATATGGGGGCATTATATATTTATTTTCTATTCCAATGTACATTAAATAATTATGCTTAATAGAGCCTGATGATGTTGGCAGCTAGCCTCCCAGGAAGCTTTTGGGGGATTCTCCCTTGTTTGCTCATGGCCACGCTGAGCTGCCGCCGCCACCAAAAACAGTGTGGCCTTTATCACAGCAGGTGGCATCATTTCCGCCCCCCCCCGTCTGCTTGGGAAATACCATATAAGTTCTTTCCCATGTAACTTTCACACAGCAACATGCTCTGTTCTCTGCATGCAGGTGCTTGACAACATTGCAGTTGTCAATACAGTATATGAACTTGAAACTGGATGCTTAATTTATAGTTTAGGAACAAAACAATTTTATTCTTCTTGTGTTTTTATGACAGTGCTCTGTGTTCCTTGTCAAAGGGTGTTAGATTTTACAAGTTCACCCTGTCTCCTCAAACTCCTATGCTGGCATTTGTAAGGCTTCCTCCCCCCTTTCTCATCCAGTTTGGAGGTTTGTCTAGCGGACTTGGGATCAGAATGTCTTTGTGTTTAATTGCTATGTAGTGACGTGGTCTTAGTCTATGTCCTCTGGCACCTTCTCCAGCATTAGATCAAACTACCCATTTGGGTTGCTGAACTATTTTCTTTCCTGCAGCAGTGTCACCCCAGGTCAAAGAGATTTTGCAGTGCATTGAAAGTCAACCTCCTATCTGATAGGGGAAATTAAATGTATGTATTCCCCACAGGCAATGATGATGCCATTGGGCAACTTTGTAAAAACCACTGCTTGGTGCAGTGAATTAGCAAGGTTGCCAGGACACAAGAAAAATATTATAGTAGTATAAAATAGTGGAGGGAAAAGACATTTTCCATGATGCTGTGTTTCACTTCTCTTTTTTCAGGATACTGCAGCACTTCAATACATCTGTAGAGGACTACACAGTCATCTTCACTTCAGGCAGCACAGCAGCACTCAAACTTGTTGCAGAGGCCTTCCCTTGGGTTCCCGAAACAGCAGAGGATCCTGGAAGCCGCTTTTGCTACCTCACTGATAACCACACATCTGTGGTGGGCATGAGAGCAATCGCTGATGCAATGAATGTATTGTCAGTTCCAGTGAAACCAAAGGATCTACTGCCGGGGACAGATGACTTGGTGGCTGGAGGGAACAGCTGCAAAACACCTCACTTGTTCTGCTATCCTGCTCAGAGCAATTTTTCAGGGACTAGATATCCTCTTGCATGGATAGAACAGATAAAATCTGGGCAGCTCCGCCCCATCGAGGTCCAAGGGAAGTGGAGTGTGCTCTTGGATGCAGCATCTTATGTCAGCACTTCTCTGTTAGACTTAAGCCTTCATCAAGCAGACTTTGTGCCTCTGTCATTCTATAAGATGTTTGGATTCCCCACTGGTCTAGGCGCACTGCTGGTGAAGAATGGAGCTGCTGCTTGCCTGAGGAAAGTCTATTTTGGAGGGGGAACTGCAGCTGCCTACCTTGCAGGGGAGGATTTCTATTTACCGAAAAAATCAGTGGCTGAGAGGTAAAACACAATCTCCTTAATAAAACTCCTGTTACCTAGGTTATAGAATAATGTTTCATCAGACCTGAGGCACTGACGGAACCATACAGGTCCTGTGTCTTGTTGCTGGGGATTGTTCTGTCTGAAATTCACTTTGAAAATATACTTTTAATAAGTGGTGGTGCAGCTTCACATGGGGTTTATGTTGAGTCACACTAAATGCCAAGGAATTAAAAATGCACTGAAAAATATATTAAGCCTTCCAAATCCACACCAACTAAATCTCAAAAGTGTGTGACTACGTGTTCCATTTAGACATCCAAATTCCAGCTTATGCAAAGTTACTTGTAGCAAAAAGGCAATTTAAGATGTTCAGTACCAATCATGTTTCACTTGAGATGCTTCCGGTCCCGTCCCACCCACCCCTGGCACTTAAATTATTAAGCATTTTTAGTGTGTTTTCTTAATTTGCTGGGTCCTTCTGTGATGTTGCATTTAACTAATGAGATATAAAAGAGCACTCCCAGTGATAATTATCTGTTTTAATAAGCGATCTGGTTCACTTCTACATAATATGAGTCCGTATTAGACTTGTTAACTTAAATCAGAAATAAAAATACTTCAATTAGAAATATTGTGCTGCAGGATTCTGATGGCCATTCTGAAATTTCCCATACTTTAAATAAATGTGCTTACAGTCACAAAATTTCAACTAGGGCTGATCTGAAGTCTAGCTTGGCCAAATTATCAGAGGTTTTAGGGACAGTGGTGGCACTTGTTTGAGTGGGAGGTAGCAAGGGGTCATAGAATATGGGACAGGCTCTACCCCTCCCCAATCCCCGTCAACAGCGCTGTGTCATCACGTAACATCATTTCCTGGAATATTTGAAACTGTAAATTCACTGAGTATCCTCTCACCTGAAATACTTTCCTCCTGCCTCTGCCCCAAATAATTGGGAAAGGTTCTAGAAGGCAGATGGGAGGTGGTTTTGCCAAACTGTGGGAACACTGTATTCAGGTAGCTGTGTAAACTGAACTCTGTCTTTAAGCCCAACTAACTGCTAGCTCTTTGTCTCGTTGTTTTTTAAAAAGGGTACTGCATTTTTCCATAAGAGGGCCAGCGTTGGTGTAGTGGTTAAGAGCGGTGGACTCGTAATCTGGTGAACTGGGTTCGCTTCCCCGCTCCTCCACATGCAGCTGCTGGGTGGACCCTTGAGCTAGTCCACACTTCTCTGAAGTCTCTCAGCCCCCCTCACCTCACAGTGTGTTTGTTGTGGAGGAGGAAGGGAAAGGAGAATGTGAGCCGCTTTGAGACTCCTTCGGGTAGTGATAAAGCGGGATATCAAATCCAAACTCTCTCTTAAACTCTCATAAGAGGAAAAGGTCAGGGAATATACACAGTAGCTTTTTTCAGTGAATAAGGTTTTGCTCTTGTGATATTTCAGGTGTATAGCATACCAGCATAATATTGTACAGGGGAGTCTGATGGCATCAGCTACTGTTTGGTGGTTGATGCTTTCTTGGTAGATGGGTCTGTCTGGACTGCAGTGGATGGTATAGTTACAGACGTAAAGGTCAGAGGGGGCACTGACATCTGATACTACCAGTTGCATAACCTGTTCTGTAGAAACCTTCCTACCTCATATTGTAAGGATAAAACAAGCAGTCTTTCAATATTGCTCTGGATTCCTTGGATGAAAGGAAGGCTATAAAGTAAATACACTTATTGATTGAGCTGTTCATTCCTGGTTGTTTTCTGTGCCATCAGTCTAGGAGGCTGATCATTTTGTTCTTTAAGTAAGTAAGTTTTTTGAGAGTAAATGTGCTTCTCAGTTTGTTGCAGCATTATTCTTCCTAGCCAGAGGCAAAATGACCATGTTTTGGTGCCAATCATCTTATCAGATCTGCTTTTCATTGCTTGATACAAGTATATGAAAATATGGGTATGCATCCTATGTAAGAGTTGTAAGTGCCATAAAACTTCTCCAGAAATGGGAGCTTGAATTATCTAGAAATGTGTTTTTGGGATCCAGAAATAAAGAGGTGAAAGGATGTTAGGCCTGCTTGGGTCACAGGCATTTGTGCTGCAATAAATTAACTAGGGGCTTGTCCACTTATTTATTCAATTTATTTCTGCTTGTCCCATGCTTTCTAGGGCACAGGTCCAAGTGGCGTTGCCTTTGCCCGGCCACTTGCCCTTAGAAAACCTGCTCTTTAGCACTAAATCGGAACAAGCAGCAATCTGTGGAAAACCTGATTGCCATTTGTTCCTTTTCAGTGCTAAACTGCAGGTTTTCCCAGGGGAAAGCACTGGGCCAAACGGACGTGTGGACAAGCCCTGGTTGAAAATGAGGAGGCATCTGATGTGCCTCTGTGAGTGTCACAGATCTGGAAGTACCTCTTTCCATTCTATCTCCTCTAGGGTTTGTTAATTCTTCTGTGCCTTTGCATTTGAAAGTTATTGCAGAGACACAGCAGTATTGCTCGCCTTCGCAAGATGATTCCTGTTGATCTCTGTGAAGTTCAGTATTTGGGGCTTCCCTGTTTTGCATTCAGTACAAAGGGCAGCCAACTGTTCACCCCACCCGCCCTCCCACCCTCCCTGCCCTCCCGCCCACCCTTAGTACCATCACGACCTTTTTCTGATTGTTTGTACAATATATTGATGTGTCAGTGTGCCCCTCAGTCCTGTGTTTGAATAATTAGGTCAACTGGATAATCTTAGTTAATTATAAACCCTTGCTCTACTACGAAAACCAATATTGGTGACGTTCAGACAAAAGCTGCAATCCTGTGCTTACATCAGGCTTCCTCAACCTTGGCCCTCCAGATGTTTTTGGCCTACAACTCTCATGATCCCTAGCTAGCAGGACCAGTGATCAGGGATGATGGGAATTGTAGTCTCAAAACATCTGAAGGGCTGAGGTTGAGGAAGCCTGGCTTAGATATTCATGCTCGGTTCCATTGAGTTCAATACTTCTTTGTACACAGAAGGCAGCACAGAATTTACAGCCAGGATTGCTTATGAATTCCAAAGCCCATCCAAAATATAACCTCGTTACCTGCTCTTAGGAAAGGGTCAATGTATGGAAAGGGACAATGAGATTCAGGACCTTTTCTTTTGGGGGTCCCTGACTTTGGAAACGTTCCCTAGCGAGGCCTTCTAGCTGTTAAAAAGAACCTTCTAAACAGGAATGTCTTAACATATCGGAAGAGCTGTCACATGGCAGGTAGAGCAAGTTTGTTTTCGCCTGCTGTGGAGGGAAGGACCTGTACCAATGGATTCAAGTTACAAGAAAGGAGATTACGACTAAACATCAGAAAGAGCTTTCTGACAGTAAGAGCTGTTCAACAGTGGAACGGATCCCCTGGAAAGTGGTGGACACTCTTTCCTTGGAGGTTTTTAAGCAGAGATTGAATGGTCATCTGTCATGTATGATTTAGTTGCAGGGGTTGGACCAGATGACTGTCAAGGTCCCTTCCAATTTTGCAATTCTGTGATTCTATGATTTCTGGCAGGGTAGGAAGAGGGAGCACGGTTACTGCGCTCCATATTTAGTTTGGGTTTTAGAATCTCCTGTGTTAGAATAATTCTCCATTGTGTTTATTGAAATAGTGGTTACACCTCTTTAAGCCAAATAGGCTGCTTAAAAGGGGAATTGTTTTTTATAATGCCCTCCTGGGCAAAGACTCTTCCCACCCACCGGATGTGCATATTCTCTGAGACATGCATATAAAGCCATAGCATTTGAATAGGGTGCCAGGGCATAAAATGCAAAACACATAGGCATACAAATCAGGAATGAGTTGTAGAATCCATGAATCCATTGAACAGTGAGTTTTGGGCCTGTGAGCACTGGGGTTTTTTGCCTTTCAAATTTTATTCTCACACATGGAGAATTTAACATACTCCCATCATTTTCTGGGGAAAATACCAGGCTTCATTCAATCATTACTGAAGACACCATCAAACAGAATGCCCCCGTGAGTAAGATTATTTGTGGTCCTTGTTAACTATCTAAAGAACTGTGATGTTCTTAAGAGAAGAAATTAAGTTCCTGAGCACAATTTCTTGAAATACACATGACTACGGAGCATGGTACATTGTTCTGACAGTAAAATGGAGTAGACTGAGAGATTGCCTCACAATGCTGGTGCCTTACACATGTGACCTAATTCATTGTCAGCATTGCTACCTGTGCCACATTTGTCACCAATATGTGGCAGTTAGAGATATTATGCAGAGAATGTTAATAGATACATTTTTTTTCTCCCAGAACGGTTTGCCCAACAGTCTTCAACTTGGCATTGTCCCTGTGATGTTGTAAGCAAGGGCTTTTAGATGATGGTGTCAGAGTGACCTAGAGCTGTAACACAGGACGTTCTGAGTGAATGTGCAATATATGCTTAGTGTAAGATAAGAAATTACATGTCAGACAAGGACGTGATGATCTTTTGGTTCATGACATGGTTCATGACACGTGAGTGCTGTAGACCCTAGTTTCCACACCATAAACCTCCAGTACTTTGCCTCTTTGGCACATATACACTTTTGTAAATATGTACACTCCTATGTTTAGGAATTGGTACATTGTTTAGAACCTGAGACTATGTCTGGGATGGTTCTATGTGTTTACTGGATAAATGCTCCTTTTTTCAAATGAATCTTCCCCAGATGGAAAAAAAATGATACAAAGAATTTAGTTTTTAAATGGTTTTGAATCAAGACCTCCATTCACGTGGCAGGAATTGAAATGTATTTGGGAGCTATTACAGCACATTTAATAAATTACATTCTAAAAAAGATGTGGAGGTAAGAAGTGACAAGGAAGGCTGTGTTCTAAAGTCTTGTAACAAGGAAAGAGTTTATATGTTTATCTTAGTATGACTTTGTGGAGCAGAATATGTTGGTAAAATAAATCACTTTAGCAGCTTGCCTTAAATTTTTGGGGCAAAAACCACTGGAGAAACTTTTTTTATTATGCTGCAGAGTTTTCAGGAACAAGACTAATTCCAAGACA